ATCATAATTCTGTAATAATTTGGTTATTACAGAATTGTAACTCAAAGATGTAAGTTTTACCTGTGATATATCACAGTCATTTTCTTCCGCCTCAGTGGATTTCTTCCATAAGACTCAAGCTAATATCTTTTTCTCCTTTACTAGTGAGAGACTTCGGCGTCTGCCCTCTTCTGGCTCCTCCCTCTCTGTAGTGAAATCAGCACAGCATTAAGGAGAGGGGAGGGAATAATTAAGCATGCCACTGAACCGCTTAATCTCATTGGTTCTTTCTGTGTTTATGTTTCTGCAGATGCCAGAATTTGAGAAGAGCACAGTTCACATCAGAGACCCTGAGAGGGTGGAGCAGGTTATCTGCAGTCTCATTAAAGGTGGAGCATCGAAACTGCAGGTACAAACACCGTCCCCTCCCTGTGCTTTATTAGGCCATCTGTCTATCATACAACTGCTGTCACATTACTAGTGTTATGCACTGAATGTAAACACACTTGTAGTGTCAACACTGTCTTTAGTAGTGTTTAATAAAGCAGGCATCACTGTTGCTTTATAATGCTGATATATTAGTTTGTGACTAGGTCTAATGACCCATGGTGTCCACCTTGGATCTGCTCACTCTCCTTCTGTTCTTCAGATCATCACAGATTTTGATATGACGTTAAGCAAGTTTGCTGTCAATGGAAAACGTTGCCCAACATGTCATAGTGAGTAAAAAATTGCCCCTTTTTATCATCTCGCAACAAAGAGCACAACAATTTAGTCAATAAACAAAATATTCTAAGAGGGTTACTATGCATGTAATAAAACAAATCTTAAAAGTAGTTTTCAAAGAGGTTTTTTTATTCAAATATATGTCAACATTTTTCTTGATCGATGGAGGGTTGTTTCTTTAAAAATGTTACAATAACCTGTTCTGTCTGGATATAAATTTTGATGACACTGAATTGACTGATACATTTTAAAACATCACACTAAAATATATCTTTGAGATCCAAAGCGAGTAAAAAATAGCCCCTTTTATCATCTTTTTATCTCGCAGTCGCAACAAAGAGCACAACAATTTACAAGCATTAAGTCAATAAACAAAATATTCTAAAAGGGTTACTATACATGAAATAAAACTTCTTAAAAGTATAACACCATAGAAGACTCTTACAAGCAATTACATTTGTAGAGTTTTTTTATTATTATTCAAATACTGTCAACATTTTTCTTGATAAAAAGAGGGTATTTTCTTTAAAAATTGTACAATTTATGGATGTCAAATTTCGCTATAACCTGTTCTGTCTGGATATACATTTTGATGACACTGGATTGACTGATACATTTTTAAAAATCACACTAAAATATATCTTTGATATCCAGTGATCTGTACATTTGGCTTTTACAGATATCATTGACAACTGCAAGCTGGTAACAGAAGAATGTAGGAAGAAGGTATATCGTTTTGTTTTTTTTCAATAAAATGTGTGTATAAAAGTTTGTATACAGTTGTATGATTTACATGCTAAAAATTTTATTTTTCCAGCTGCTCCAACTAAAGGAGACGTATTATCCAATAGAGATTGACCCACATCTGACCATGGAGGAGAAATATCCATTTATGGTGGAGTGGTGAGTGACCACACATGCAAATAAACACACATGAAATGATCTTTCAGAATGCTTTATTAAATTAAATGTGGTCTTTTTTCCTCAGGTATTTTAAGTCTCACACGTTATTGGTAGAGCAGAGATTGCAGAAGGACAAACTTCCAGAGGTCGTGAGAGAGTCGGATGTCTCTCTAAGGTACAAACATTTCTAACCCTAAAGTTTTCACAACTTTCACTCTGAATACCAAATAAACTTGCATTAGAATCGCAGCAGCTGTGGTATCCTTTTAGTACACCAAAAGCACAATCAATCTCTCAAAGATGTTGCCGGATCTGATCTTTAAGCATGTGTTTGGTCACATGTGACAGGGAAGGGTACGAGCAGTTCTTTGACCGGCTGCACCAGCACAACGTTCCCATGTTCATTTTTTCCGCCGGTCTGGGAGATGTGCTGGAGGAAATTATCAGACAAGCTGGCGTCTACCACACCAACGTCAAAGTTGTGTCCAACTTCATGGACTTTGATGATAATGTGAGTCTCAAAGCTTTTATAAATATCACCGGTTTGTATTACTCTCAAACACTGCTTTAATTGAGCTCAGTGATGATCATCTGCTGATCAGGATCTTCTGTATTGTCTTGCAGGGGGTTCTGAAAGGCTTTAAAGGAGAGCTGATCCATGTTTACAACAAGCATGACGGTGCCCTGAGGAACACAGAGTATTTCAAACAACTGAAGGACAATGGAAACATTATTCTGCTCGGAGACTCTCTCGGTGATCTCACCATGGCAGATGGTGTGCCCAACGTAGAGCACATCCTCAAAATCGGCTTTCTTAATGATAAGGTACTGATTTGTTTTCTCATTGTTTAAAACAGGACCGTTGTTTAGTTGATTTCACTGATAAGGTTTTGTTGTATTTCACAGGTAGAGGAACGGTTAGAAAAGTACATGGACTCTTATGATATAGTTCTGGTGAGGGATGAAACACTTGAAGTGCCTAATTCCATACTACAGAAGATCTTATAATAGACACCGCAGAGCCACCGGCCCACAGCACAGCCTGCGAGGAAAAGACTCAGATTCCAGGATATTCAGGGTCACCTGGATAGTTCATCTGTCGACATGCCTCACATGTTCACAAGCCATACATACGTCACCCTTTGACCTTTTTTAAAGTTGTGTCCTGTCATCATAATGAACTATTTTAATAAACACATACACCTGGGATCTCGGTGTAAATGAATAGAAAAATACATCATTTGCATATTGGCAGAATTATTGTTTGTAGTATTTTTGATATGGAAATATGTGTATTCAGTGTTTGCAATAAAAGTTGGGACTGTGAAGAGTACAAAGCCCAACTGACATATCACATTCATCGTCATTCTTAAAATGATGTGCACTTTTAAAGTCTGAAGAACTGTCAAAGTTCTCATGGAAATTTGTATTTCATGAGAGTATGCAGACTGCATGCACAGATCAACATTAAAGCAATACTGTAAATTGCTCCAGAAGCCATGATGTTTCATGTGTTGTGTTCTTTGTCCTGTGAGAATGTTTTAGCATAAATGATCAGCCTTTCGGTGTTAACATTTGCACAACCACCTGATTACCTGTGAGGTAGGCAATAAAGTTTTTTTCTCTGGAGTGTTTGATTCTGTGAAATTATGTGTGAATGAATAAGAAAGATTTATACAAAGTTGGCAACAAGTGCAGGTGACTATTTTACTTTTTTCTTAAAGAGAAATCTCAACCTGTTTGGTAGAAAGGCTGAACACGTGGTCTGTATAAAGTAAAAAACAATTGTTTTATGAATTTTATCTTGTTATGCTTTCAAGGTTTGAAATGTGTCTGAATTTGGAATATGTTCCCTGAAAATTCTAGTGAGGTTAGGTTTAGTGCCCCCAAAGGATTTGAGTCTGTCCAGTGTTGGGGAAAGTTACTTTTAAAAGTAATGCATTACAATGTTGCATTACTCTATAAAAAAGTACTTAATTGCGTTACTTAGTTACTTTTTATGTAAAGTAATGCTTTGCTACTTTTGTGTCACTTTTTATCAGCTGGGCTGGGCTTGCTTGTGTATTTATATATTTTAAAAAAAAAACGTTCTGTTTTTGGCAACTATAAAGGCCCTCTTACGCCAAAAGTGAAATTAATAAGCCTCAGCCTGAAGGAAATGCCTCTGCCTCTGCATCTCACTCTCAATTTTTCTCAACACGGGGGCCATGAGAGGTGTCAGTGAATAAAGTAAAATAAGACTTGCTGCTTTTTTGAGACAAATCAATTCAGTAAGTCATAACTCATAAAAAACACCCATTTGTCACCTCCTAATGGCATATGTAATCAGAATAAATTGTCACTGTGAACAAATGTGTTAGGGTTATGGTCAGTTTTGGGGGTAACACATTACAAGTAACACATAATCAGATTACTTTTTTTCAAGTAACTAGTAAAGCAACGCATTACTTTTAAATTGAGAATAAATGATCTGAGTTACTTTTTCAAATATGTGACCCTGGACCACAAAACCAGTCGTAAGGGTTCATTTTTTTTTTAAATTGAGTTGTATACATTATCTGAAAGCTGAAGCTTTCCATTGATGTATGGTTTGTTAGGATAGGACAATATTTGGTCGAGATACAACTATTTGACAATCTGGACAATGCATATTATGTTTTGATATATTTACGGTAGGAAATTTACAAAATATCTTCATGGAACATGATCTTTACTTAATATCCTAATGATTTTTGGCATAAAAGAAAAATCAATCATTTTGAACCATACAATGTATTGTTGGTTATTGTTACAAATATACCCGAGCTACTTATGACTGGTTTTGTGGTCCAGGGTCACATATGTAATGCTGGGATATGAAGCACCTAAAAGCAACCACGTCGGACAGAAGCACTGCGTCTCAAACCAAAAGAAAGATGCACTTGTCTTCGGCCAGTTCTTCAGTAATTGTATCAAAATATTTTACGTATTTTATATGCTACCATGATAAAACTTTGCAAGATGATGAGACAAAGGAGATTTTTAGGAGGCAGGAGCACTGGTAGGAACCCTTTGAGCTCTGGCTGCAAGCTCCTTTATGACAGACTGTTTTTATGATTAATACTAATCTACACAGTGATTGTCGAGTTAAAATATCATGCATAATAGTGACTGTGTATATATATATATATATATGAAATCACTTTTGTACATTGAATTTGGCCACCAAAATGGGACGTCTTGTCTTTGACCCATGCATGGATTTATATGCACATACATAATGTAGCTTAAGTACATTTTTTTCAGTAAAATGGGAAACAATTGTATTATAGTGACGAGAATGCATCTTGGATTATAGTTATTTCCCCTAACTGACACTTCCCTAACTGAATATTCTTGTCCATTCAGCACATCACAATTAAGCAGAAAGGACAGGAGCCTCGACCGCGACGCTGCCATGCAGACGCTACTTTATTCACATGCCCCTTCTGCACAACTGACGTGTGTAAGCCAAGACAGTACCATCAAATAATGACCCATTTAGCTGGGCATAAACTGAGAGCAGTTGAATATGGAGGTGAGTGTGTGAGCAAACAGTTTCTTTGGTAGTTAACGTATGTTATATAAACTAACAATAAAAAAAATTTTTTTGCGTTTTTGGTTGCGTGTGAAAGTGTGTGTCTGAGCATAGTTTGTTTATAATAAAGTTGTAATATTTAACTGACATGTTAGGAACGAAGTATGAAAATAATTTTTAATATATATATTTTTTTTTTACATCATCCACTATGCTTGGTCTGTATTGTGCTAATACAAATGTGCTCAAACCTTTGTTTTAGATCATGTTATATACAGCTGTAACGTTGGCTGTGGCAAAAAGGCCAGACATTTTCACTGCTGCAAGTGTCCCAAGATTTACATGAATAAAGGTGCCATAAAAAAGCATCTTTGTAGCGCTCATCCAATAGCTACTTGCAATCCAGAACCACAACCTGTAAGTCACCCACTCCAAGAACCTCCTTCACAACAACATCCAGCATCTCATCCAACACCAGAACCTCATTCACACCAACAACCAGCATCTCATCCACCACCAGAACCTCCTTCACAGCTACGACCAGCATCTCAACCACAAGAACTTGATTTGCAGCAAGCAGCACCTTCAGCGATTGGGAGAAAGCAGATCTCTGTGCAGTGTCCTAGTAGGGTGAGTGTAAATTCCAAAAAATTTGAAATACATTCAGTGGATAAATCATGAAGCCATGCAGTGTGTCCTTAACAAGCACAGTGTGTTGATAAAAAGAATAGGATGTACAGTACTGAGCAAATGTATGTTAGAATTTTCACCAAAAATAATTTAATATCTTTTGGTTTAAGTGTGCGAATAGGAGATGTCAGTTCACACTTCCAAACATTCCTTTTGCCATTATTTGTAATCAGTGAAATTTTTGTATGCACAGTGAGTCCAACAACATACACAGAGATATGATCTCACCATCATTTAGCCTGTCTGTTATTACATCAAGAGCCAAAAGGAGATGACTAAATCCATAAGAACTGTGGGAACATATCCAAGATGATTGGGGAATTATATCTGTGAAGCTACAGTACTGTGAAAAATTGTAATCACATGTGCAAAAATGCTGTCAAGTAAGTGACGTGACATGTGGCCAAGTATGGTGACCCATACTCGGAATTAGTGCTCTGCATTTATCCCATCCAAAGTGCACACACACAGCAGTGAACACACACACACACACCGTGAACACACACCCGGAGCAGTGGGCAGCCATTTTTGCTGCGGCGCCCGGGGAGCAGTTGGGGGTTCGGTGCCTTGCTCAAGGGCACCTCACCGTATTGAAGGTGGGAGAGAGCGCTGTACATTCACTCCCCCCACCTACAATCCCTGCCGGTACGAGACTCGAACCCGCAACCTTTGGGTTACGAGTCCTACTCAATAACCATTAGGCCAACACTAAGGATGTTTTCAAAAATAAACTGGTTTATTACAGTTAATGGCTATATGAATGTTTAGAAATACACAGTGATATTTCCTACTGTCACACTAAAGCAAAATATAAAAATACATTTCTTATGTAACTTTTGCAGAGTACTCCATATATCGTAGTAAAATCATTCTGTGGGTGTTTTAACCGATTCGTTTAAATCAAGTGGACTGTTCCTGACACCTTTCTCTTTTCAACTGTCATTATGAGTCAGACAGATAAAGTGATTTGAAAAAGTGAAGGAACACTGAGGCCAAGCGCCTGCAGATAAGCGTAAAGGGATTGTTTATTGTTTTGACCAAACTGTGTGGCTTTGCTTGCTAGATACCCAGCTAGTTATAAAAAGTACTACTAACAAGTATTATTAGTCAATGTTAGCTAGCTGTTTAGTGGATCTTCTAGCTATTTGTCACTTTAGCTATGAAACCCAGTGATGAGAATGGTAACTTGTATGTTAGGTATATTCTAATTGAATTTAAAAAATAATGAGTTAGCTTTCTAGACTAGATTTCTAGGCACTATGTAACATAACATGTTATCTTAATTGATTATTGTTTTCTAGTCAAAAATGTGAAGCAGTGGTTTATATACATAAACATATTTTAGATTGAAATGTAAAGACATTTTCTCCTGAGGGTAACTGATATTTTTATTGTCTATTCAGCACATCACAATTAAGCAGAAAGGACAGGAGCCTCGACCGCGACGCTGCCATGCAGACGCTACTTCATTCACATGCCCCTTCTGTGCAACTGACGTGTGTAAGCCAAGACAGTACCATCAAATAATGACCCATTTAGCTGGGCATAAACTGAGAGCGGTTGAATATGGAGGTGAGTGTGTGAGCAAACAGTTTCTTTGGTAACACTTTGTAATAATGTGGGAAGAAAACAAACATAGATTACAAGTGTTATGAATGAAACTGTTATGAACTGTAAAAATAAAAATACAGCATTAATTATTCTTCGTCGATGGTGTGCTTATACAAATGTGCTAAAATCTCTTTAGATCATGTTATATACAGCTGTAACGTTGGCTGTGAAAAAAAGGCCAGACATTTTCACTGCTGCCAGTGTCCCAAGATTTACATGAATAAAGGTGCCATAAAAAAGCATCTTTGCAGCGCTCATCCAATAGCTACTTGCAATCCAGAACCACAACCTGTAAGTCACCCACTCCAAGAACCTCCTCCACACCAACAACCAGCATCTCATCCACCACCAGAACCTCCTTCACAGCTACGACCAGCATCTCATCCACCACCTGAACCTCCTTCACACCAACAACCAGCATCTCATCCACCACCAGAACCTCCTTCACACCAACAACCAGCATCTCATCCACCACCAGAACCTCCTTCACAGCTACGACCAGCATCTCAACCACAAGAACTTGATTTGCAGCAAGCAGCACCTGATCCACAAGAATTAGCAGCTTCTCCAGCGATTGAGAAAAAGCAAATCTCTGTTCAGGTTCCACTTAGGGTGAGTCTGAATTCTAAAAATTGAAATACATTGAGCTGAATGACTATCTAGCATTAAGTATTATTGGTTTACATTAGCTTGCTATTTAGTGCATCTAGCTATTTGTCGCTTTAGCTATGAAACCAATGGTGATAGTGGTAACTTGCATTTAAAATATCAAAGACTTATCCAGTCTAACCTTAGCTAGTTAACCTAGGCTGGAGTCCTAGGCACTTCAACTTGTTGAAATAATCAATTAGTTAAATTAATCAGTCTAGTATAAATATGAAGCAATGGTAATATACATTGAGGAAATATAATTTAGACTAAACTTGATAGACTCTTGAGTGTAACTGACATATTTCTTGTCTATTCAGCACATCACAGTTAAGCAGAAAGGGCAAGCACCTCGACCACGACGCTGCCATGCAGACGCTACTTTATTCACATGCCCCTTCTGTACAACTGACGTGTGTAAGCCAAGACAGTACCATCAAATAATGACCCATATAGCTGGGCATAAACTGAGAGCGGTTGAATATGGAGGTGAGTGTGTGAGCTTAAAGTTTGTTTGGTAATACTTTATAATAATGTGGTAATAGTTAACATGTTATAAACTGACAATGAACAAATCATTTTACAGTATTCATTGGTTAAAATGTTTAGTTTAAAATTGTATACTATATACTTACACTGGGTAATCCATTATGAGCTAAGTAACAATGAGCAGTAACATTAATTAATTCAATCTGTAAAAGAAAAAAATGTTCATTGTTAATTTATGTTAATGTACATTGACTAATGTTAAAAAAAGAAGTTTATTAAAAATTAATATAATTTTTTTTTTCAGTTAAAGGGGTCATATGATGCGATTTCAAGTTTTCCTTTCTCTTTGGAGTGTTACAATCTGTTCGTGAATAGATAAGATCCCCAAAGTTGCAAAGTCTCAAACCCAAAGAGATATTCTTTATAAAAATTAAGACTGGTCCACACCCTCCTAAAACGGCTCGTTTAAACACGCCCCCACATGTCTACATCACTATG